GTAATACGTTATTATAACTTCAATAATATACAAAAGTCTAACCACAAATATGTATCAGAACAGTAAAAATTTAATGTGAGTCTGGCAACTATTATTGGGCGTAAAACCAAGAGAATTTTATGGTACTTTAAGTAAATACATAAAATCAAAAAAAAAATATGTTATACAAACTACATGGGAATTTATTTTGAACTAAAAATGCTAATTGTCAATTTTGTATTATCATTGTTTTGTATGTTATATAAACTCCACACGTTTTTTTTAAAACTATTTTTATTATTTTTAAAAATTATTTTACTCGGTAAATTATTTAAATAAATTACTTAATATATGTATTAGTCGACTAATTACAAGATATTTATATTTAAGAATATGGAGACCAACAACCTTTAAAAAATGTTCGGGCTTTGATTCGAAGCGAAAATAAAAATGTTTAAGTACTTAATACTTATAATATTTTTTTATTTAAATTTTAAAAATGTTTTATTCAAATAATAAATTAATTCTCAATTTTTGAAAATAAAATTATTTTTAACTGATAGATTTGTTTGTCATTTTATAATAACTGGCTTCCTTAACAATCTAACCTTTCTTGTTGCTAACATTGATTATTTTTCCTAGTGTCAAGTGTTGTACGTCACTATTCTCGTTAATACTGACAACCCATCAAGCTATAATTTGATTAATAAATAAATAGATGTGTGAATGGAATTACAGGCGTTTATGACTAGAGGTTTAACTCGCACTAATGAATAAATATTACAATAAGACGCATTGGAAATTAGGCTTTGATTACTATAAAACTCAAAAGTTTATCAAAGAAGACGCATCAATTATAATAAAATATATAGAATATAATTTTTTTTTAATTTATATCTTGATTATCCTCATGGTAATATAAATTTTTAGCTGTAAATATAATTATAAAACACACTTAGATCCTAATCAAAAGATAGTGGAAGACACTTTAGTCTCAACATCCCTAGTTTAAAAGTTTTTCTAGATAGTATTTTAATAGAAACACATACTTTTTATAATCTACCCTAGACAAAAAATATTTGGTTTCAGATTTAGATTTAGTCACACATGAATCATTTTTTACAGTACTCTTTCTAATACGCATGGAATATGAGATTATCTAATTATAATTTAAGTTTAAATTATCATTTACGTTTAAGCACGAAATTTTATTGGCTAAAAATAAATCTTTTCTAAAACTTGATTAATACAGTGTCATCATTAACATATGTCATACGAAATAATCCATAATTAATAGTAATATTAAATCTTTATTTATAAAGTTCTGATACAACGTATAACTTATAAAAGGAGTATTAAATTACATAGAATTCTAATTGTGTTACTAATTCATTTAATAATTCAAAAATTACATCTTAATCTATTGAAATATTACGTCTGTCTAAGGTTAAACAAATCAGAAAAACATTTAAGTAATTTAATATCTCTGAACATTCCTGAAAAACATAATTTATACAAATTTTATTTGATCTCAACTATAAAGGCTTATCCAAAAAAACATTTTCATTTGCCATTTATTGAAGGTCAAATTAAAATTATACTTTCGAGTCTTCTCATTCAGTGCAATTTTCTATCTGAAATTACATAGTTTCTTTAAAATAACCATATCGTATTATCAAATTAAAATAGAGATGCTATTAATATCAATAGAAATGGATAAAGCAATATTTTCTTCTCAATACAGAGTTGGAATAATGCTTATAAAGACGTTAAAAATACATCCCATTGCCTAAAATATCTACTAATGATTCATCAGTTTTTAAGTGTATAACTATTTTTTTTAACACTTTTCTAATATTATCAAATATATCGACTCCAAACAAATTNTTATAAAGACGTTAAAAATACATCCCATTGCCTAAAATATCTACTAATGATTCATCAGTTTTTAAGTGTATAACTATTTTTTTAACACTTTTCTAATATTATCAAATATATCGACTCCAAACAAATTCAATTCTATAAAAATTGTATTAATTTTTTTTTTACCGGACATTTTTAAAAATATTCAACCAGAAAATGAAGTGTTATAAAAAGTATTAAATTAAATGATCACACTAGACTCATGAAGCAACTAGAAGTGCTCGATCTTATTACGTTTCACCTAGGGACAATGAATAGAGCACTTCTGGGAATATACCAAATTGTTTAGCTGTATATCATTCAAGAAAACTAGAGGAAACGATTCGATGAAAATATTTATCTTTGAAACTCAATAAGAATTCAGTAAAAATTGAAAGAAATACTTAATTTAGCAATAAATGTTTGGTATAAAAAATAAAGCCAGTAATTTTTAAAACCAACTTGTATTCCATGCAATATTAATATTTCATATATTTATTATTAATATTTTATCACTTTCAGAGTTCTAACTGTTTTATAAGACCAGTAGTTACTTTAATAACAAATTACGTTTTTATAACAAGCATCATAATAATAAAAAATGTAAAAAATCTACGGAAACCGTTTTAATATAATTGAAAATTATTAAAAGAATAATTATTAAAAAATATTCATTTCGATTTAATTTAAACAATTTTTAAAATAAAGACTTGAAAATTTTGTTTACATTTTATTGTTATACTATTAAATTTTCGAGTAGTGCTACTTAATATTTCACTAATGATATTATTATTATTTTTACTTATTATATATTTTTTATGTATTTAAATTTAATTTTAGAACTCTTATTTAAACTAAACTATTCAAAATTAGTTTCTTTGGAAGATATTACATAGTTTATGTATACAATTAAAGAATTTTGACTTCGTTTCTAAAATAATAGCAATTAAAAGTTGTTGAAGCTACATTTGAAATTCATAGTTACCGTACACTTAATGATAACAACAAAACTGCTGTATATGCAGTTATACAGCAGATCATTAAACACAGAAAATTTTACGAAAAAAATTACTTTTATGCTACGAGTTTTTTATTACTAATTAAAAATAACATCATAATATATAATAAAAATTGAAAAAAATAAGCATTAAATAAACTTTGCGCAAATATATGTCTGAATCGAACAATGACAAATATTTTTTAGGTTTTAAGTTTTTTCGTGTACCTCTTTCTTTACAAATCAACGTTTACGTATATAAAGTTTCTGATGTGTTTTTTTCAAGTTCACCTATTTCAATAAATGCGTTTTAGACTTACTCTCGCATATTTTTAGCTATAAAAATTGAACGTTATGATCATATTAAGTTATGAGTAAGACATTATGAGTAATTTAGAGTAAGCTTTACCTAAAAGTTTTAAATTCCATATGATTACAAGTAAATTTTAATTAAAGATTTTGCAGTGAACAATAAATTAATTTAAGTTAGACATTTTTCATGGACAATGAAATTTCAATATTTATCTCTTTTTTATCAAATAAATCAGGCTAAAATAAGTACAGTTGTGCTATAACTGTACGGATTATATTAATCGTTTAGTTTTAACATATTGAATTGTTATCAAGAAAACTATTTTAGTGCATTCAAACAACATAATTAATATCAAAATGATAATATTTAACATAATTAATCAAACATTTGGTAAATTTCTTTTCCCGATAAATTTTATATGCTCATAGTAGTTGAAATAATTTTTATTAATATTTTAGAGATTGTCATTATAAATCATTGTATCTTTAAAGTGGTTTTTTTCACGCCGTTATATATTTTAAATAAATACACAAAAATGCTTTCTACTTAAATAATTTTATCTACAACTATAAATGTTTAGTTCGCTGATGCTAATTAAATATACCATAATAATGAAAAAAGCGCATTATGGAAATATTACAAANTTAAATATACCATAATAATGAAAAAAGCGCATTATGGAAATATTTGGTATACTATAATTACATATTAATTACAAACATTTTTAAGAAATGATACAATGTTTGCAATAAATTTGCATGTCAATTTTTAAAGGATAAAATTTTAATGGTTTAGCTTTAGGCTTTGTCAGATCTTAAACTGAGCCCTACCAAATTATATAAGTTTAAAAAACTACAACTGAGCCTTTGTACACTTCAAGCACTTAACAATTATTTTGAATTTTACCCTTCTTCTGTAAACATTAAAATATGGGAAATCATTTGAAAATTTGTTTAAAACTATTTTAAAATCATATTTTTAATTTAAAAAAATAACTCTAAAATGATAAGTTATTTGTAAAACAATAATTAATTAATTTTGTTAAGTTATATACATATAAAAGTGATTTTGGTTGGATTCTGTTCAAGCATCGATAGAAAATTAATTAGCTTAAGTAAACAAAATATAAAAAATATATAATGTCTACAGATCGGTGTGAATTGATGATATTCTAAAGCAAACAGCATTAATCACATGGCCACACTGTACCTACTTAAATATTGAAAAAAAATCAATTAAACTTTCAAATTACAGAACATAAATATTTTTCTATGTAAATTTTTTACACATGAGTTCTTAAAAAATAATGTCTATAAAATTATGATAAACAAAATTTATTATGTTTTTTTCTCAATAACAGCACAATAAAAACAAAGCTTGAAAATCCGAGAAATTTGCCTATTATTTTTAAAACATTATTTTCTCTTTATTGCAAAATAAAATGAACTATATTTTAAATATATGAGCCGAGAGAAATGATAAAGAAATAAATACGAGTATATCTATGCAAATCTTTTGGCAGATTTATCAAATGATATAAAATGTTGACATTTAGCGGAAATTAAACTGGTGGTGACATTTTTTCAAAAATGACCGCGTTATAAACTGTTAAGTTCACACCGGTTTATTGTTACACTGAGGTCATAACAATGTCTATACTTTTTTCTCTTATTTCAACTTTTTAGTAAGCTTTTTTTTCTTTTTTTACTATTTAATCAATAATATATAAATTTTTTTATACTCTGCGTTCTTGTTAAAAACGAATATTTGAGATTACTTCAAGAGACAAAATCAAAAACGAACACTCACCTGATAACTGACGGCTCTTAAGTGAGAGGATGCGGCAGATCCTGTGAGTGGGAGTGCGTGACAAACAAAAAGAAACAGTCAAGTCGAACAACTTATCGTGGAGCTTGATACGCTTTAAAAAAACATTTTCTTTTTCACAACTGCGTAACGATAATAAATCGAATGCCCAGAGAGCAATAAACAAAAAGTATCTCGAAAAAAAATTGACGTGTACGTAAAATTTGTTATTTAGCGACAGCGACAACAATAAAAAACGGCACGCGGCCGCCAACAGAAAAGCGAACTGAACTCGTCTCCGGCTACCCGCGAGCACACCGTGCCGAATTTATGAACACCGACGGCACCACCGTCAACGCGCAACTCCTCGTCTAATCACCATAAACACACAAACACAACACAATCGCTCACCCGATGACCCATCCGACCGACATGGCCACTGTCGGTCACTCGTATCGAGCACCCTCCTGCATATGTATGCCAACGTGTCAACCTGTCCCGAAACACAAAGAATCAGTTGCGAATAATGTATAATCTCGGTAGAGCTTCGCGAATTTTTTACCTGTTGAACATTCCTATTGTTGTTATCACGGAAACTCAATATTTACGCATTTCAAACCGTACACGTTTTCCCTTCAATATTTCTCCGTTTTCCATTCATCTCGGACGCCGCTATGACCACAAAAGTTCTCAAAAATAACAAATGGCGTTATACGTCCACTTCAAAAGTATGTCCTAATGATATAGTGTCACATGTTATGCTGTGCGTTTTGCAGTGATGAAATTTGTAGCTTTCAACGGAATACATATTTTACATGAGCTGTTCAAACTTGTATTTGTTGAAGATAACACTTTAAACGATAATACTTTAAAGAATTAGTCTGTCGGGACTTAACTTTACTCAACAAGTTCCGTCAACAATTATTCACAGCGGAGGGTTTATAAATAACGAGAACAGACTCAATTTTCGTCATTTCTTTGCCCTCTTTAAAAATCTATGACGGCTCATTATTCACGGTTTCGAACATTCTTAACGCATAATATCTACATTGTATGATAATAATGCGACCAGAGGCTTTTATTTTCCGTTTGTCATTTTCGTGCATACCACTTGATTTTTATCTAATGAATAAATAGAAAATTGATTTATAGCGATTTTTCTGAAAATTATTATTACAATGATATACAATATAACAATTATAATAAAGCTTTTAAGAAACAATAATCAATGTACACAACTTTTTACTGACGTTGAGTTTTTTAGGAAGATTTTACAATTAAATTTGCCGCGAAGTATCCCAAAAGGCTTCGCGTGGTAAACCGGAGTTACTGTAAACTCTTTCAGAGTGACAAACATGAACCAAAATATTGAATATTTGTCTACGGCGTGGGATCTAACCGAAGAATGTAATCTGTATGGTAAAGTACACAAATTGATTACTAATTACATAAACGTGACAACAGCTCAACGTCTATGGATACACNGTCTACGGCGTGGGATCTAACCGAAGAATGTAATCTGTATGGTAAAGTACACAAATTGATTACTAATTACATAAACGTGACAAGACGTCGACGTAGAGATCGTCGAAAAACACAATACTTTTGTTGATGTTGCTTTTTACTAGAAGACTCTAAATTTGTCCACATACGACTAAAGTTTTTATTCAAACGCAATAATTAGAAGATTAAAGAAAATAAATAGGCATTAGTGTGGAATATAATTAACACCGAGTAAGTTAAAAGGACCACGGCAAGAATAGCGATTACGTTAATCCAACGAACATAAAAACTCCTCTACTTTCTTATTTACTATTTAAGCACTTCGGTTTATTTTTCCCAAAGCAACACTGTATTTATGAGGTAGAATTATATTACTTTCGAACAACAAATCTTCTTGCTTTGTACGATTCTAGATAAGTTTGACAATATAAAAATAATAACATCTTCTGTTTCATATAGCTGTAATGTACCAGCCATTCTTGCGGCTTGGATCAGATAGTAAAGAGTTGAACTTTTGCGAATAGTTTTGTTTATTTAAGAGATTCAACGTTTAAATTTCAAACTTTCAATAAAATTGTATTTTTTATTTCAGAAATACAGAATTTTCTGACATTTTGACAATTTACAAGGTATTTTCTAAATATTTTTTACAATATTAGCATCATTAGATATCTATCCAACGTTTCACTAATTATTACTTGAACGTGAATGCCAAAAACGACAAAGACTGTTACCTGTTAATTAGGTCTGTTGGCCAGTCAAGTATTTTTGTAAAATTAACTATTTTAAGAAATATTGGCATACAACAACTTCAACAAAAATAGTGTAACCTAAATCCATCATAAAAAGCATTGGAAATCATGTATTGCATTCGTTAAATAACGAATGCTCTTTTATTTTTAGGAGCAAGTTTATATTTCAAAATTATTTTCTATCGCCTATATTTAGTACATATAATATAAATAAACAATATCAGAAAAAGTATTTAAATGGAGGCTTATCTGCTAACGACGTTGTTTTAATTTTTTAAATGCAGCTATTGATAAACCTTTTATTCGAAAAAATTATTTTGAAATATATTAAATAGAGCACAGTTGAAATTCCAATATTAACAATATTTCAGTTGGTCTATTATTTTTTTGCTAAAAATAAACAGTTATAACCAACAAGTTATGTTTTCGCGAAGTTTCACAAATTTTTTCTGGGAAAATTTAATTGTCCACAAAATCTTTTTATTATTTGGCAATTGAAAACTTCAATAGTCCTGTTAATATAATAAAAACAGAAACAATACACGCTAAAAAGTCTTTTATTTTTATTATTTGTTTTTCATAATGTCTATAAATATACTACAAAAAATTTATGAAAAATGCATTACTCTTTAAATAAAGTAAAATGTTTAATAAAAGAATAAAAATACTTAATAAAAAATATATAGTGTGTAAAGTCTAATTTTGTGAAAGTGTGTTCTAAAACTAATAGCCTATTTAAATTGTTTATTATTAACAAAACATATTTATCACATATTTAATTGTGCTTTGTAAATATTTTACAACATTTTTATTTTCGTGCGGTACCATTCGTGCAATAATATTTACATTTAAAGTGTACACCAAATAAAATATAATATATTTACTACTGCTAAAACGTGTACTCTAACCATACTTTTTTTATCATCTGTCATTACTTTCAATAAATGTGTTATTGTAAATTACTTAACATTTTTAATGTATATTCTAAACATTTTTATTATATTTAATCAAAACATAAATTTAATTTTTTCAATTAATTTTATACATATATAATGATATAGTAATAATGTAACCTATTATTCAAAAAATTATTTATATTTTTTTATATCGTTCTTATACTTTTCTACTGCTCGTTTAAATTTAAACGAAATTTATGAAATTAAATTAATGAATTATATTTGTGTAATGTTATAAACACATGTAAAAAAATTCATGGATATGTCTGTTATCATATACATTTAAACCAGTGCTGTATGGTTCTTTCAGCTACTCATACAAGAATTATTTACACGTCCTGTAAAAATAATCTTGATCCTTTCATACAATAGTTAAAGAATATATAGAGAAATTGATTAATCGCTGACTACTGACATTATCATTAAACAATAATAATTTTGAAAAAAGTATTTTTGATTTTGTATTATTTCATTATTGATTATAAGTGGTTAAATATTTCTTAGGTTCATCCATTGTCCTTTGTAAAGATACCAATTTTTTATTTTTAGTAACATACATATTTATCTACTCCATACAACAGAAAAATATCTAATTAAGGAAATGACTGGTCAATAACAACTTGTGAATCAGTATTTTTAAATTTATTAACATTTTTTAAATGTTTACTGAAGGAAAGGTGCGGGTAATGTTATTTTTATCATTATGCATTTCTCTGTCGCGTTCTCCTCACATTTAGTTGTAAAAATATTTATAACTCCTGAACTACTACTTTAAAAGTTATTATGGACTAGTCATCTCCTTAATTGGATCATTTTCTATTATATGAACTGGCTAAATATTTATATTATCACTTAAAATAAATAACTTAGTACCCTTATAAGAAATGAAGGATAGACCTAAAAATTATTTAACAACTTATAATCGAGAAAGAAATTTTATTTAAATAAGCCAAACAATTTTTTTTTCAAAATTGTTATTATTTACAAAAAAACGATGAATCAGTAATTGTATATATTTACTTTAAAAACTACACCACTAATAATGTTTTTCTCTTTCAATATTTATATAAATAATTTATTAAAAGTTTAAATTAAAACTATCGATGCAATCCGGAAAGACTAGAATGGGTTTAGCTCCTCTTAACTTCGTCGTCCTCTAGAATTTATGAAAATCACATCTAAATTTATATAAAAATAATTTTAAAGAATGAAAAAATTAAATTAATACCCCCAAACATTTTATTAAAATTGTTCCTATGATTACATTTAAGTATTTATTTATTGCATTATGCATTACTTTAATTTACGAGTAGTATAAAAGTAATTCTATGATTATATTAACTTAAAATAATAATTTTTATCGTCGACAGTGATAAAACAATGCATGTCTTACTTTTTCCAAGTGTTTAAAGTTTAATGAGCAGAGAAATGTTACTAAAAACAAGAACATATTATTTCATGAAGAAATATTATTGAGTTTGTGTTTCTAGATTGTGTTGTAAAATTTAACGATCTTCTACCCTTGTGTTATACACTCCACAATGAACCTATTTACGTTACAAGAAGGTCATGCATTTGTCATTGCGTGGGGTCAGACTTTTTTGTTGTGACTTGTTAATGTAAAAAAGTCATCTTTTATGTTTGCGTGCAATTGGCTTTTTATTTTTAACTCGTGGAATTTATTGTTGTAATTAGGAATTTCAAACAACTATAGAAGCAACTCGAAGTTTAAGAGCTATTCAAAGCATTTTTAGAGCCAATAAATATTTTCTACTAAAAAACGACAGCAAAAATAATTCAATAAAATATAAAAATTTTTGTACAAGTTATTTAATTAGAGTTAAAATACACGAAAACTTGGGCATAAAAATGTAACAACAACAAAAACATTACAAATTGAAATGAGATTATGAATTTGTATGATATTTTTAGCACATACGGATTTTTTGTCATTCCATTGAGTAAATATAAATGTGTCAAATTAATATGCTCAGGAGCGTATTTACATATAGGAAATGTAACCACGTGCATACAGCGACAAAATTTTAGGGGTACCATTATTTTTTTATTAATTATAGTAATTACGTATTGGAGATACTGTTTTTAATAACAATGAAAAAAAATAAGGTCTTGGCGGCGAAGTTTCCCTT